AGAACTCAGAAGTACGTGGCTCGGCAGTTGACAGAGTTGAGCAAACCTCGAGTGTGGACCTCAGTGTTCGGCTTGATGCATGCTACATGGAAGCCATCACTTGTACACAAGACTTGGACTACTTCACAAGTAAACGCATTGCTACAGAGAAAGCCTGTGGAATTTGGTTGGATTTGATCGCCTGTAATTGGACTGCAACGAAAGTTGGAGCCCAGATCTGCAGTGATCTTCGTGGGGACCCCAGTGGTGAGAGTGCGATTGAAACATTGAAGGCATGCTTTGGCACCAAGAGCCCAAATACTTTGTTGAAGCGTGCTTCATCGTTGAAGAGGTTCTTCAAGTGGCATTCCGGGCATTGTAGAGAAAGAGACGTTCATATTGAGCCTATTCCCCTCGTTGAAGAAGATGTTTGGAAATACTTTCACTATTTGAGAGCTGACCGTGTAGCAGAAGGCCGAGGTTACACTACGCCTGGATCTTTCCTTGAAACAGTGAGGTTCACCAAATTCACGGTTGGGTTGAAAGGTTCTGAAGATGTCCTGGAGTCAGGGAGGCTGATTGGCTTTGCAGCTCTTGAACGACGTGAGAAAGGACCAACCCGCCAGGCACCTCCAATGGAAGTTGAGCATCTTCGTAGGCTACATGACATTTTAGCAAGTGATGCGAATCTGACTGACAGGCTAGGTGCTGGCACTTTCCTTGTGTGCATTTATGCTAGAGCCCGTTGGTCAGACATCCGCTTCATTCACCACGTCGAGATTGAGGCCAAGCGAAACGGCTGTTTTGTCATTTATACAACTGAGCACAAGACTTCACAAGTTGGCTTGAGACGAGAGCAGTACTTACCGCTGGTGGTACCATGGGATGATGTGGTACATATGGATTGGTTGAAAATTTACTTTGAGCTTTACAAGCAAGCAGGCCTCAATATCAGCAATGTGCCTTTAGGTCCTTTGTTACCTGCACCGAAGATTGGAGGAGGATTTGGAGCAAGGCCATTGAGTACACCGGAGGCCTCGGCCTGGCTCAAACTCTTGCTCAGAGGCACGACAAACTCGGAGACTTTCCGCTCGCATTCATTGAAAGGAACTTTGTTGAGCTGGTGCGCACGCTCGGGTATGGATCGTGAAGTCAGGGCTGTGCTAGGACACCATTGTTCGTTCTTGACCGGGAGCGATGTCGTTTATGCCAGAGAGCTTCAGACAAGGCCCATTCGGAAACTGCAGATGCTGTTAAAGAACATCCGTCTTGGAATGAGTTTGAGGACATCGCAGAGCATGGCACATTGATTTCGACCACACCGTGTGTTCAGCTACCAAGGCCATGTGCTGGTACCCCGCCTTTGTTGCAAGGACCTCCTGTTCACGAGAAAGAAGCTTTGTCAGCTCATGTCGACGAAGTCGATGGGGCTGCTGAGATTATGAACCTCGAGGAAGACCTGAGGAGTGTGAAAGAAGAACATGATCTTGAGAGAGAAAGTTTGTCACTGGCTGAACAGCTAAGTCTTTTTCCATTAGGTGTTGTCAATGGAGGCCTCATTGAAATTGAGTCTTCGAGCGGCAGTGATTCAGAGTCGAGCTCTGACACCAGCGATGAAGAGCCTGGAGCACGAAGTCGCGAGCCAGAGAGCTATGCTGAGCGAGTGCCAAATGGGCAGACCTATGTGCGAAACACCAAGAGCGGCCTGGTGCACAGTGCTAAGACTTCAGGAGAGTTCACAAAGTGTGGCATCAAGGTTGCAGGGCATTTTGCTG